TTCCTCGTGGTGTGTGTGTGTGTGTGTGTGTGTGTGTGTGTGTGTGTGTGTGTGTGAGAGAGAGAGAGAGAGAGAGAATGCACAGAGTCCAAGTTTAATGCTGTTTCAAGTGGCATTACTTTAGGAGTGGATACCTACTGCTTAAGGAGAAGAGAATGCCAATGACAGTAGTTTCATCCTCCTACCTCTAAAAACCAGCTGGTCACCAAACCCCTAGATCACACACACGGGTGCATCTGTGTGGTCTTAGGGCAAAGGGTATCCTACTGCAAAGGAATTCCTGCACAAGATCCTCAGCAAGATCTGCTAACTTAGGATCGCCTCCAGTTATGGAGAGGTTGATCTTGTGAACGTCCTTAAAACTTGCCCAGTTCTTGTCAATGGATTTTGCAAGATGCCATTTTAAATGGATCAAAAGGTAATGACTTACTTGTGCCAGGACTGACTGGTATTGATGCGTGCAAGTGTGGCACTCTTCGTGCTTTCATATACAGTGTTCTCAGACATAGATTCTGAGGAAGGATGGTATTTAGAGAAAAAATAGACTCCCTCTAGAATAAATGACTCTTCAGTTGCTTTACCAAGCCCTTTTACTTCAGTTTAGCTTTATTATGACAGACAATTCAGTGTATGAAATTTGCAGCAATGCCAGCAAAGGCACACACAGATGCAACAGACAAGCAAAAATACATGCATGAGAGCTCAAATCCTCAAACTCCATGGGAAATAGTTATACCACTCAGTGCTCACAAGAATTAGGATACAGTTGGGTTCTGTTAAACTTTAGTAGTTTTACACATTGGTACACTGTTTTGTGTTATTTTAAATTGACAGTGTGACGTCTGTGGAAGCGGGAAGAGAAGATTTTAAAGACTTCATGCTTTGTAATTATTCCTTCAAACCAATAAAAATTAGAAAAGTGAAATGCTAAAAGTTAAACCTTGAGTGCAGGTTTCTGGGGAAAAAATCCCATGTTTTGTAGCATGTTTTTATGTATTTAATTTTGATTTATAACCTGCTACAGACTGATCAAGTGCATGTTGTACATGAAAAATTCTGCATCCCCTTACTTATCTTTTGTATTTTCCTTTACACAGATTTCACATTTTAGAGTAGGACATACTCTTTTCTATTCCATAAAAACAGTCTTTTCTAGAGTTGTGAATACTTAAAAATAGCCATTTATGCAACAAAATTTCTCTTTTCAAGACACTTTAAAAAAAAGTTCCTACACTGTCTAGAATGGTGGAGTTTAAATGAAAGTTAATAGAAAAATTAAAAAGGAGCAATTCAGAAAAATTCTGTAGCCGCAGAAAGTTAGCTCTCCCATATTTAAGTCCCAACACAAAAGAATATCTCCTGGTTCTACAGGAAAGAGAGGCATTTTTAGAGAACACAGCAAGTAATCCCTCAGTGAAATGCTACTTCTTGCGAAGTTCTAAACCTGCACAGAAGGCTGACATACATTATATCTGCCTTTGCTTTAAAGCCACACTCCAACACACTAGTGCGCTTCTGCGCACATACGTTTATTGCCTTATGTGAAGATGTTCGAAACGGTTCATTCGTGTTATCCAGGAGAAGAACCTAACCAGGTGTGCTTTGAAGGAGTTTTGTTGTAAAGGGTCTTCTTGATTGTTATCAATATCTGGGTTCTGTAATACCTACAATATGTATTTTTACAGAAATCACATTAAACATATTTTCACATTTCTTTTGATCAACTGCTATTTCATTGTACTACTTACTGAAACTCAGATGTGTGATCATGTCATTTGCATTTGAAATAAACAAACATCTACTTCCAGGCAACTGTAGTGTAACAGTGGCAAAGGTCTGATGGGAACATATATTCAGATGCTTGATTTCAGTAAAATTTGGAGCTAAACTGCTTTCTATCCTTTTTTGAATGCGCTCTCTCCTGTGTTTATTGTACATATTGTTGACATACTGAGTGATCAAGATATAGTCATATGGTCACAAAAGGCCAGCAACATTTCTCATAAGAAATTTAAACCCAGGCATTCTGGTTAGATGGCATGCTAGTGAGAACAGATCTGTCCACATGTTCAAATATGCATTGCATGTATGGCTACCTCAATACTTACACCTCCCAATTAAATCATAATAAAAACACTTCATCTTAGCATTCTAAGGATAAATGTATTCAGCCCTAAGGTTAAAACAGCAGTTTTGCATTGCTGAGCCAGCACTGGCAATGATCCTTTGAGGGGAGATACCGCACCCACAGCTTCTGAGCATCACAAAGACGGGATATCTTTCTTTCAGCACTGCTTAATCACCTCCAAGCATCCCAATTAAACAGACTTGGCAGCTAATTAATAACCATTCCTTGCCATTAGGTGGCATTAGGCTCAATTCAGCTTGCTAAGAAAAATTCTAAGTAAGTGAATAATGTCTCCAATAGGTGCACGCACAAGGAAGGTTGCTCTTTATTAAGTCATAGAAGGGAGCAATATAAGCTCCCCTGTGCAGCTGGTCATCTCTGCCAGCTGGCATGGAGCTGTGAAGAGTGGCAGAGATATGGCTCTCCTTTCTCCCATTCCCCTTTTGGTGCCCATGGTGATGCCAACAGGGAGCATTCGCTGGGGTCACGCGAGTGCATGGGCTGGAACCGTATTGGTCCTAGCACAAGTGGTTGCAGTGGAGAAGGATCTGTGTGCTCACCTCCATTGGTCACCCAGGAATGTGCTGGGTGCCATCTAGCCTTATGTGAAGAGTATTGCATCACGGATATAGGTATTGAGCCTGGTAGCAGAACATTGGGGAGTTTCCAGGCATAGGAAGTGACAGTATATTTTCTTGGTTTATGGGAAGAGATTAATATATTATTTTAGGATGGATGAGCAAACACCCCTTCTGCTGGGGTAACAAATGACGTCAGTTTTAAGCAAGTGAATGGCTCCATTTTAGTTCTTTTTCTTTATTAAAGAGAAACAGAATCATTGAAATGTTTCTCCACAGCACTGCCTTGGTCCATGGCAACATGATCCTGTCAGAGTTCTAGTCATGCACAGTAGTGATTTGCTGTCATTAAGTTATCCTGACTACTGCTACAGCAGAATGTAAACTGATAATAAGGAAAAGAGAGACTCCAATATTCCAATACACGCAAAGTCAGGATTTAGATTTAGGATAGTCTAATTTAGTATATGTTTATCAACAGGTGAGGGAAGGAAAAAGCATCGTGCATGCCAGCTTTCAAGCTTGCCTTTGTCTCCAGAGAAGACCATATTATAAGAGGTTAGCTAGAAAACAAAAAATGAGTCGATAATAAAAGCATCTAGCAAGAGATTGGGGTTTGAACTAACTTAGCCATAAATTAGATTAATTTTACACATCTCTCTACTATTTATTATTAATTCTGAATTACTATTTGACTGTATCTCTGGATCCTATCCAGAACTGTAGGTTGCTCCAAAAATTTAAATCACAACACTGAAAATGTAAAAAATTTCAATATAAGACTTTATTTTCCAATTATAAATCTTCCAGTTAACTTATTTTCTGAAAAAAGAAAGATGCTTTTCCCACTGCCTAAATCATCCTTCAGCTTTTCAGCCTCTCTACCTTGGGACCCCTAACATGCCTAAGAGTCTGAAAGACAAGGTGAGCTTTGCAGCAAACCCTGGGCTTGGGCTGAGCCAGGAGGGAAATGAATTACAGTGCTGAGAACTCTCATGGAAAACACCTGCTGCTATCCCCCAACCTGAGAATGCACCACTGATCTCAGCTGATGGAATATGAGTTGGAGAGAGAGGCAGTCTCTCATGTTGCAGGGTCCCAAACCACTCACAAATGGTGGACCCATTCTCTCAGCCAGGATGAAGATATTACGCTCGCAAACTCATCCAGTGGTTTCACCCAATCCACCATCATCACATCAATCTTGCCTGAAGTAAGCCTCAGACAGATATTATTGGATGAGATGGAAGAGGGACAACGAGGAAGAAAACACTAGCGTCCATGAAATCTTCACCCCAGAACAGGCAGGAGAGAGAGGTTTCAGTGGCCTGACTGGATTTCTGATGAATAGGTCAGCTCTGTACAGAGTCAAAATGTGTGACCTATGATGGCTCCTTCCCTGCCTCACTGGCTTTTAGCCTAGGAGAGCACAGCACAAAAATAAGGGATGTTTTCTTTTACTAACACAGTCTGTTCCAGGCCAGCTAACATCTTGTTTTGTTTTGACACCTTATAGAGAATTTACTGAATGGATTATTTTGAAGGTATATATTCATCAACTAAATGCTTGTCAAAGCAAATGAGCCTATGACCTCCTTATAACAAAAACTCAACACAACTGACAGACAATGTGGTTATAAAAGGCATATTAGATAATTCTGAAAAGATACCTGCTTTCTCTTCCAAGGAAATGAACCAGAAACTAGGGTCTCATGCAGCAATCCTTAGTGGGGGGAGGGGAGGGAAGGGGGAATCCCATTCTCAAATGATGGGCATGTGATGTGAATTGATTAAAAAAATGCACCTTTTATGCTTAATACAAAGAAATACATTAATACTAATTTGTACTAAAGTGAACTCCAATGAAATCTTTGTTTTAGTGTCCTGCAGGATATGAAGTTGTTTACTGTCTTCAAATGAGAAGAGAAAAGATTTTAACAAGTAATGTCAGAAAAGCTCATTATAAAAATTAGATTTACTTTAAAATTTGCATTAGTAGTTCAAACTTTCCTTTAGGTAAAAATGTCTGAAGTATTGTCGTTCCTTAGTTATGTTATCTGTTTCAATGCCTGCTCGCTAACAAAATTGTTCAGGCATAGCCATACCTAACATTTATATAACAGAACAGCATCTTTGCAAAAGCAAATTTTTTAGTATAGCAAGATAACATGAATTTTAAATAGGGTGCAATAGTTATTCATGCCAAGCATTCTGATTTACCCAAGGATCCTGTCACTAGTACGTGCTCATCTAAAATCTTGTTTGTTTTGGCAAGAGATCACAGCTTTTCTCCAGTTACTGTGCCACTGGTGTATGAACCATTTTATCCTCCATTATCATCACTCTCATTCAGGAGTTAAACCTAATCCTGCAGTCCTTACTGAAGCAAATATATTATTGAACCTGCTCTGCAAAGTTAACATACCCCAAACTTTCACTTACATGAATGGGAGTTCTGTACGTGGGGTGAAAGTTGTCAGAGTATACAAGACCAGCGGTACACCCCCTGCACCTTTTCAGCCCTACACAGGGATCCACTGGTTGAACAGCTGCACAGGGCAGCTGTGCACTCCTACACGTCACAGAAAAGGTAACTGTACTGACCCCACTTAAACTTGTGCTTTTATGTATATAAGTAGCCCCAGTACTCTATGCAGCTGGCTTGGAGCAGCTGCATAGAAATCCTACATGTAACCTGGGGCTTGGGTCACAGATTTCATTATTCCAACTGCTCCACGTTCTACCCACTCTCAGCCTGAATACTCAGTGTCGGTGTCAATTAAAGAATTCACTTTAACATTGTTAAGGAAGTCACTGAAATCTTCACCCTCAAATCTCCTCACCTGAAACTCCTTCACTGTCAGCATCCTAACACCAGCCCTAAATATGTGGGATGTTATTTCAACACCCAGTTGACTTGAACTGTTGAGCTGGAACATGAGAAGTGGATTGGTTTCCAACGTAACCATACCATAAAGGGAATAAATGGTAGATGCAAGTAGCACGTGCTCCCCCTTTTGCCCATTTACTCCAGGGTGTTTCACAGTCACATTGTACATGACCTGATGTGTCTGTGGCATCACTGGGCATGGCTGTGAGAAGGGCACATTGCCATAATCCAGTCTAGGGGTTGGCCGACTTCGCATCATTCCTGAAACACAATTGCTGGAAGGGTCTCATAGGGGAAGCCTCATGTGTCTCATAAGATGTTCTTTTTCCTGCTTCCAAAACATAAACACTCCTTAAATGTAGCATTTCCTGCCTACCACTCTATTGAGGCAGTTTGGGATACAGGATACAAGCATCAATGTTCAGTCAATCCAGAAAAGTTAACAAAATCACCATCACATTTCGGTATTTAAAATGAAATCATCTGGACGGACGTTACCTTTTCTAAAGGACTTTCTACTCGTGGGATGCTGATCATTGGCATCTGGGCCAGATTATCCATATGAGAATTTTCATGTTCTGGTTGTCTTCCTCTAAAATTATTTACCACACATACAACCTAAAAAGGTCAGAAGGTAGTTAGAATAATGAACAAGCATTTTACTTATTTGAGCCTGAGCCTGAACTCCTTACTCAGGCAAAACTCCTACTGACTTTAGTAAGAGATTACTGTAGGAGAACAGAAATATCAATGAAATAAAATAAAGATACCCAGTTTGTCCTACTGTATCTAACCCTCTAAATACTAATTATTTTTAAATTATCCTGAGTTCAATGACTTCTACTTTGGTAAAATGTTCAGCAGTGGACCCACTATCAACAGAAGCAATGGCATAGTAATTCTAGCAAAGAAAACATTATAAATGTGACTAAATTAACTAGATTGACTGAAAGAATCATGTGAGTGTGTTAGTCAAATTTATGTTAACAAAAAGTCTTTAGTATTTCAAGATGATATAATTTTAAACAATATGGTTACATGCATTATCATAGTACAAGTGATCTTCCTAAAAGAAAATCTGTTGCTGATGTGGAATAATAAATGGCCAATTATATATAGTAATTTTAATCTCAAACTAAGTAGATGTTCAAATTAAGTTTTATCAAAAAATGCACAAAAAGTACAGCAATAACACTGAACTCGTATAAAGATTAGCAAATATTGAAATCCATGATAGTGCTTCTAACACAGTATAATTTAAATGCTAATCATTTGGTACTATCCTGACACCAACAAGAGCATTCACAAACACTTCCTCTAGAAATGGTTATAAAAATCTGTTGTTTTATTTTATTAATTGCTTGTATAGCATGTTCTCAACTTGTTCACTCACTTGGCTTTTCAAAATGGATTGCTGGACTTGTGCAGAGTGGAAATTGATTTTAGTGACAATTTACTACTTTGAAAGACATTTTTCAAAATGTTAAACAATTGTTCCTGCAGTTACCAGAGTATAAATTAAATGTCTTGATAAAAATTTATTTATATTCTCTTTCCAATAGCTAATTAATACATAATGCACTTTTTTCACGTTTATTGTAGAGTATAATTTATTTGTTTAAATAAATACTTAATCAAACGGAGGGATTTCTACAATTAATGTCTGAATATAAAAATGATATTCACACAAGTTTGTACAGATTGTTTTCCCTTCCCCAGAAACAGCTAATGAATAATCAAACATTTAAACACCACAATTTTTGATTGTTTCTTCTAAGACGTCATTGTAGTGCTGGGGGTTTTACCACTGAACCTTCTCCAAAATCTAATTAAATTTAATGTCTCTACCAGTTTTATAAGGACTCATGCTGAAACAAGTACATGTTCCTTTGTGGTGCTCCAGTGGTGCTAGCAGGATAGAGAGCTGGCTTAAACAGCAGGTGAGGAATTCTCTTCGAGTATTTCCCATGTGATAGCTCAAAGCCACCTAGTCCTGACTCTCTGGGGTAGGAGGTGTATGTGGCCAAGTGTCTTACACTCCCTCCCTTGATCCTGAGCCAACAGGACCACCCCTGAAAGGGTTGGTGGGGAGGGGGAGCATAATTTAGAGAAGCCCTAAGGCTGCTCTCAAATGTATCTCCAGGATCAGGAAGGTTGAAGGTGGGGTGATGGCTTTACACTCCTTGGGTTCTGAGCCCAGTGTAGCTTGGTCATACCCAAGGATTACATCCAAAGTGTTTCTTAGGGGAAAAAATATATAAACTTTTGAGAGGGTGAATTTAGTATTAGTGAAAGGTGTCAGAGAGACAGACCTGTAGGGAATTTGAGTGTAGATCAGCATCTGTGCCCTTTCACAAACTTCAATTCTCTATTGAGATTGTCATTACAAGTGTTGGAGTGGAGGTGGTTTTGTGATTTGGACATTTGTCCACATGAACTGAGACTGGAGATCTGGGTACCATAATAAAGTTGCATCCAATTCCAAAAATCTCTCCAAAAGAGAAAGGGCACCTTTTTATATGGAATATACAAACCAGATACCAATTGCAGCATCACTAATGGCTACACTTGCAATGACAGAAAATGATACATTAAATCACTCTTTGTCGGCTTCTATAGGATTTAAAGCTAAATTAAGTCTTTTATTCTGGTAAACCACATCGTTTTCAATTAAATATAAATGAATACAAAATAAATTTACCAGGTTGTTGTTTTGTTTCATTTTGCCATGAAGAGCAACTGATTGATAATGCTAATATGGCACTTTAATACTGTATAGTGAAAATCAAGATTGGATGTCATTCTAAAAGAAATGCCCTAGCTCAACAAGTTATGGGCTTGATGTATGAACTATGGTATGAAATTCTATGCCCTCTGTTCTAAAATCTATGCATCTATGAAAACTGGCATTTTATTAGAAAACTGAGGCCCGCCTCGAAGTCTGGCATTTTAGTTTCCTGTAAAAGAATCTAAGGCACCAATATTGCCATTAACAGCATAAATTTACACATGGAATTCTTTAATGTGATGTAGACATTTGCCCACGTGAATTGAAGCCATGGGTCTGGGTGTCAGAATATAGGTGCATCCAGTCCCACAAGAAAAAGGGCATCTTTTTATATGCAATATACAAACCAGACACCTGAACTGCAACATCACTAAGGTAAGAAATCCGGGACCCAATGAAGTAGAGGAGTTTTGCCATTGACTTCAATGGGGCTAAGATTTTACCTTTTGTCTCTCTCTCACCCACATCCAAACACGCACACACACACACACATATATATGCACTTACCAAAAACACTGCTATTGATATTCCAATTATAAATCCTGCTATCACATCTGACCAGTGATTTCGATACTCGGCTACTCTGTTGATACCAGTAAGAAATGCCAAACACATTAAGCCTAAGCACAGAACAGGTTTTGCAAGCCTTGTTCCTCTGGCTTTTATTGTGTTGGTAATATACATCTGAAAATTAGAAAAAATGAAGCATAAGACTATAACCTCTAAGGGAAATCTTTGTAATTTGGTTGGAAAAGACAACTATGCATACTTTGATTTTTGTATAGAAAAAAAAAGTAGGGCTCATTATGCAGTACATACCAGTTTCATTCTCTTTTTACCCAGAGATTAGATGGGTGCATTCTTTACATAACATTCAGCATTACAGGCATTAAAATAAGAGTGGCACATGATATGGCTATTAAAAATCTTACATAGCTGTCAAATGTACATTTTCCTTATTGGTTTCCCTATGTATTTTGCTTTATACTCTCTCTCTTTTTTTTTTTTTTTTTGGCTAACTCTGAAAATACAATTAAATGGAAACATACTAATCTCCAGTTATTTTAAAAATGAACAAACAAACAAACAAAACCCTGGTCTTGCAGTGTTATAGCAAAATCTTCAGATTTCATATTGTGAAATAGGGTGGCAGCATTTTAACGATATTCAAGGTCCCCTCCCATACTATGCAGCATATGATATACAATACGTAGCAAAACCTCAGGAATTATGATTCAAGGCCCAGTACAAGTGCAAAATCCTACCCACAAGACACTGCTGTTCCGAGTTTGGCCTGGCACAGCAAAGAAATCCCCTTCCAACTAGCTCTAAACTCTGTGCATAGCAGTAGTGAGGAGAAAGAGAGGGTCTCCGAGAGTCTGGCCTGGGTGTTGAGAAGACTGGCTGCAGGGTTGTTAAAGTTAAAGCTGAGCAGGTAAGAGCTCAGGGATTTCACAGGTCACTCACATCTCCAGAGCTCCAATGCTATATGAGGAGGACCTGGCTGTCCCACCTCCAGAGCCAGCCCTAGCTTTACTCTAGTGAAGCTTCAAAAGCATGCAAAAGAACCATTCTTTTGTGCATCTTAGGAGTCAGCGTAGCCAAGTCATGTGATTTTTATTGCAAGTCTTGTGATACTTGGTGTTCGTGCGGTTATGGGATTATGCTAGAATCTCAACCTCCATTAAAAATAATGGTATGATTATGGAAACAATCTTGAAAACATGAATCTTTAAAGGCTCAAAAACCAGAAGGCAAATAAAAAAAAGAATCCAAAATGTATCATTTTTAAATCTCGTGCTTTTTCTTGGGCAGCTGACTCATGATTTTTGAATGCTTGGTGTTGCCAATATAGGAGAAAATGCTTGTCCCGCAGAGCTCCTGACCTTTCTAGGTAATTGCCTGTCCCTCACACACTGCATGTGAGTAGCTTTAAAGAGGGAGACTTGTCCATTTATCTGTTGCATAATCTGATGGTACACGGGGATTTACCAATAACATCGAGAATTATACCACCACCACGACCAGAACTAAATTTCTGTAATCCTGGCTGGATGGCATACCTGCACTCCTCAGATGCACACTGAAGGCAATTAGTGACAGTAATACCATTGGATGAATAGACCTAGAAACTGAAGCTTTTGTATTCAACAGCAACTTCACATGCCAAATTTTCCTAAACTATTTCCACTTCCAAGCACCTAGTTATCTCTATATAACATTATCAGTGTAAACCCCTAGTGCAGTCACCATTGCAGTGGTGTGAGCAGTGTTTTCTGAGGGTGCAACATGTCTACACTACATCTGTGTAGCTTACAATCTTGATACATACAAGGTTTCAGGCTCCAATAGACCCACAGAAGTAAATTCCAGAGCTGTAAGCTCTCCACTGAGAAGGTCCTGTTTCCAGTCCTCCCCCCAGCTGTTTAATGTAGGTTCTACGACTGGTCAAATATTTTTCATCCATGCTATTCATTGGAAAATTGGGTTTTCGACAAAACAATTTTTTTTCAATAAAAGTGTTTGCTTTCTGCAGAAAATTTTGACTTTTTGTCTAAAATCTGAAAAACTTTAAACCACAAAACTTTTTCATTTTTGACAAAAAGGTTTTTTCCTGTGTAGAATTAAAAATAAAATAAACAACCATTTCTAGAGACCTAAGCCATATAGAGCTTCATGGATGAAAGCCAAAACCTTGATTTACACAAGGAAATAAGTAGGCAGAACTGGAGAACTGATGCTTTATATTTCCTATGAATAACAAATGGCTAGCCTCATTCTGTACCACCCGATGCTTCCAACTGATTGTCAGGTATAGCCTATCACACAGCACTGCAATAATCCAGTCAGAAGATATTTTATGGGTCTATCCTTATGGGATCAATGGTGAACCAGGACTTCTAAGCATAGGAGATAATAGTCAGACTGTGCCAAAGGCACAACCCCACTCCCATTATCTTGAATCCCAGCCTCAAACCAAGAGCTACGATGTGCTCACTAAAGACAAAAATCATCAGTCACAAAGGACATGTGTGTTTGCCACTATAGATCCATAGACCGAACATGATAATTGCCAAGTACTTTGCTTAGAACATCAGAGGGAGAAACATAACAGAGAAAAAAAATCAACAGCCAAATTAGGAAACTTAAAATCATGGCAGTACACACACAACATACTTTACATACTGCTTAAACTTGCTCATCATTGACCTCCAGCATAAAATGTATGATGTACAGCATGAAATCATTATATATACAATTATTATTAATGGGAATAAGCATTTTAGGCTGTATTTCCAACCCCCATTCCTCCTCTCTTTCTCATTTAGAAAACATGTTTTTCCCTTCACTTAATCTCCTTTTATCTTCACTTCTCTGTGTGCTACAGTACTGAAGTCAAATATTGATGAGATAAAAATGATTTAAACTTCCAGCAGTCTTTTGTCAGCTATTTTTTCAGGAACTGAACACCAAACCCACTTCAAGTACAATGTGGTCTGGGTTACCAGTGACTCTCTATTTCAGTTCCCCAGACCTACTGGGTATTTTAGTACTGTGCAATCACTGTGATCCACACCACGTAACACAGGTCTCCATTCACGCTTAGATCAGGGAAAATATAGCAATATCTTAAGTGCACAGCAGGATCACAAGAATTCAAACAGTTTAGATAGATTTGACAAGAGAGCTGGCAGCAGGTTACCCTGGTTCAACTCTGCACCATGGGGTATTAAGTCAAAATGACTACTTCTAAGCAAATATCAACTAAATAAATGACTTTTCCAAAGGCAAGTGACGGTGATGCATATCAATTGTCTATGATCTATTCTCATCACTCCAGAAGATAATCTTAACTCTAACTCAGGTGTCAAAAACATTACAATCTAAGGGGCCAATTCTGTTGCAGGCCAAGGCCCCTTAAATCCCTTCTTGATTCAACACTTTGTAGGAGGTGTTCAGCAGCACTTTGCATTCGTGTGCTCCTTAGTCAGGCATAACACCCAGGGAGTGTTGCCTGAGTCAGAAAGCACTGCAGGATCAGGACCTATAAGTGTCCTTGTCCTCCTTGGATAACTAACAATAAGTTCCAACTACTGGGTTCACTGATAACTACAATCAAAATGGTAATGCCCCTGGCATTCTTCACAATGGTAACTTGAGAGTTTTGCCAGAATGGTCACCATTTTTACCATGTCTTTATACCACAGGCACAACTGCTTTTACAGATAATGAATCAGGGGAAATAGGAACCTGTTTTTAGACACTCCCTTCTGCCATTGGGCATTTCAAATTTGCAATGTTCTTTGTACACATTACAAACTAGGAATCACACCCATCTGTTTCTAACATTGATTTCCCGCAGTTTTGGAGGAATGTACTCTGATATTTAACTCAAAGATTAGCCTTGCAGTATATATATATATATATATTATATTGTGTGTATGTGTGTGTGTGTGTGTATATATATATATGTATGTATGTATGTATGTATGTATGTATGGGTATATGTGTATATGTGTGTATATATATACAATTATATACACACATATACACATATACACACACACACATACACACAATATAATTAAATATGCTTTCTATTCCTTGTCCTGTATCGGGGGTAGCCGTGTTAGTCTGTATCCTTGTCCTGAAGCAAAGTGGCATTAAACAGAGTAAACAAATAATTTAAACAAAACAATAAACATGCTGAATTATTTTGCTATGGTTTATACAAATGTTAATTTTAATAAATATTAAATTCATCTCAACAAAGGAAAAACAGCTCAGTGAATTAAACCTGTGCTCTCATTAGTGAGGCTGAATGATGTTGGATGAATAAAGTTACTTACTGAAAAAGTATTTATTTCAAGGACAAAAATGTGGGGAAATTAAAAAACAAAACCAAACTTTGTAAAGTAATCAGCTTAGCAAAAGGGCCAATAAACAAATTAGATTATGCATGTAATATCAAGGATAAGTGTCCTGAGATGATACACGAGAGAACTATCACAGACCGCACTCTTCTCTCTCTCTCTTGGTGTATCAGTTCCTTGTTAAATCCTGATCAGCAGTACTCTTGCTATTGCTAATCTTGTTTTTTCCCAAACATGGATCTAGCCGTGTCGGGGTAAGAAGTTGCTTTGCACATGGGGGCATGGGGTCAGTAAGGAAGTGACTTGTCATGGTGATTTTGTAGACAAACATTTACTAGACATTCAGTAAAACACTCATTTTGCTTTTAATCTTCAAGGTGTTGGAATTCAGGTTGCCAAAGCTGCTTCATAAACTGAAAGAAATATCTAGAGCCAAGTGTTTCCAAAAATAAATATTTGCTAGTTCATTTTCTTTTGAGTACATCAAAACAAAATGCTGGCATCATAAGCTATATGGGAGATTGTACTTTTGATACCTATATTTTCAGAACCTGCCAATAGTGTATTATATTGGCAACCTCTCTCCAAAAATAAAACAAAAAAACAAAAACCCCACTTACTTTCTATGAACCAGATTTTTAAAGGTATGTAGGCACCTAAAGATATGGGTCTTAGGTATCTAGGCACTTCTGAAAATCCCACTAGGCTCCTTGTTTTTAATCAAGATTCTACCAAAAAAGCTATTTTGCCTTGCATGCTTATATTTTCCAATGGTTATGTCAAAACTTATCAAGTGTTTTGTGACAACCT